GCAGCTTGACGGCGATCTCTTGTACGTGCACGCTAATGCTCTGGGCGGCGCGGCCACCACGGACGAGGAGCGCATGGCGGCCATGAGCGACATCAGCGTCATGGACGGCACACTGGGGAAGCTCGCGCTTGCCGTCATTGAGCGCTCCAGCACGACGAAGGAGAGCTGGCTGATCATGCTGGTTGGTGCGGGGGGCGGTGGTCTGGAAAGGGTCCCGCTAGTGATGGCGGCGTACGCGAGAGGCGGCCTCGTGCGTTTCGGCCCCATAGCTGAGGACGCGACACTCGCCGACGTTGCCCCGACGGTGCTGCACTGGTTTGACCTTTCCTCCGCTAATGACATGACGCGTGTGCGCGGGATGTGCTCCACAGGTGTTTTCGTCACGAGCTGCAAGACCACAACGAATTGGCCATGACTTTCGACCGGTGGCTGAGAACGAGAGGTGAAAAGAAAAAAGAAACTGGGATATGTGGTTTTGGCACTGTTAAGTTGTATTAAAGAAGTTTTTTTTTTATCGTGGGGTTAACAAGTGTAGCTCGTGTGAAATTCGTAACATAACTTCAGCTCGCGTCCAAATTCATAGACTTGATAACTTGATGATATATATGTGTATACATTTTGTTTCTCTTTGTACTTTTTGCGTATCGATACTATTTAATGTGCCCTGTTTTTTAAAAATACTTGTATGCCGATTGGTATTTGATTGCGGCTCCCTCATTCTTTCCGGACAAATACGGACGTGGTTTTTTTTTATTTCATGTGTCTGTGTGTGATTTCTGCTTTGTTTGTTCGTCTGGTAGTCTCTCCGTTATTTCTAAAGAAGCAGGAATGAGTTCAGTGAATGATTCTGGGTTGATGGAACGGGCTGTCGCAGAGGAGGAGAAGGAGATTTGCGCATTAACGAAGCGTCGCCATGCACTAACCAAAACCGAGCTGAAGGCCTTGCGTGAGGCGACGGTAGAGCAGATTGCGGAGAGTGACAAGGATGTGGAGCGTGGCGTTGCTCTCTTTTTTGCCAACCGGGTGAAGGACGCGGAGGATCTCTTTGGGAGGAATGCGGCGTTTGATCCGTTTCATGCGCTCTGTGCGTCTACGATCTGTACGATAAAGGCGATGCTGTCGCTGGCAAAGAACGACATGGAAACTGCTGCGGAGAGACTGGCGTACACGGTGGCATTTGCGGAGGAGCTGGTTCCCGCGGAGAGCGGTTTTTTTGGCAAATTGGCGAATACGTTGCGAAGGAGCAGTCCGAAAAAGAGGCTCTTGCCTGGGGAGTTCCGCGCCAAGGCCATCCTTGCTGACGCCTTTGTCTTTCGAGGCTTTATTCTGTTGTTGCAGCATAACTCCCTCTCTGGTATTGTAAGGGGTGGCATTGCGCTTAATAAAAGCTATAATTTGTTCAAGTCCTTGGCAATCGAGTTGGATGAGCGGAGGGGCGAGAAGAAATCCACTTCGTACGATGACATTGGGCTGGATAAAAACAGTGTCTACAATGCGCTGACGGGCCGTGGTTGCATTAACGTTGTTATATCCATGCTTCCACCTCGTGTGTTGCGCATTCTCAACTTTTTGGGATTCACGTACGACCGAGACCTTGGAATGGATCTCGTGTTCCAGTGTTGGCGAAGCCAAACTTTGGTTTCGCCTTTTGCGGGCCTTTTTGTTATGGCGGTCAACAGCTTCGTCCCGGGATTTTGCTCACTGACAACTCCACTGTTGCTGCCAGTTGCAAAAGAAACGGCACATGAGGCAATTCAACAAGAAACCACCGCCAACTCGCTGACGCACCTGTGGCTGATGGGTCGCATTAGTCGTCTTGATTTTGACATGGATAAAAGCATTGCGCTTCTCGCCAAGTGTTTTGAGGTGGCCGATAAAGGACAGATTGCGACCTCCATGCCGCAGTTACGGGATTTTGCTGTATACGATCAGACATGGAACTACGCCGCCACATTACGTTGGGAAGACTGCATTAAAAACCATGCCTACCTAGAGGAAAACTCGGCCTGGTCAAAGGTCTTCTACGCATATGCACAAGGATGCGCCTACGAGATGCTCTTAATCGACGCCGGAGACATAAGTGAATCTGACGCGCTTCATTACAGGGAAAAGGCAACAGCAGCCTACTGGCGTGCCGCACACTACAAGGTGAGGGTAATGGGCGGTAGGACTGTCACGATTGAATTCTTTGTTGCACATAGGCTGCATGATATATTCCGCCAGGCCGGTGTGCCACATCCTAATCCAGGGAATAAAACAAAAATTGTTCCATCGGCATCTTATCCACCAAACGACGTTGTGCTGCGAAATGTTGTGCCGTTGCCCATGCTGGAGTTACTTGTCCTCTTCGACATTATGCATCAGCTGCTGCCCTCCTATCTGGAGACGTTTCTTAGGTTGATCGATGATACGTTGGGATCCAAAAAACCCAGTCTCGCTCCAACGCCGAGAAGCGACGTGGAGCGTTTGGGCAGCACCAAAAGCCTCTCCACAACTAGCGGATTCACGGAGAGAAAACGCGGCGTCGTACTGTTGGCCATGAAGGTGGTAATCCTCTGCCACATCCCTGGAAGGGAAGAGAGCGCCCTCAGTCTTCTTAAAAAATGCATACTGGAGGCCCGCCAATACAAGGGACGGGGTTGCACGCTGTCGTGGATTACACCTTGGATGTTCTACGAGGAAGCCTGTTTGGCGTTTCATCGGGGAGACTTAAAAAGAAGTGCAGAGCTTCTGGATAAAGTTGAAGACGTCAACGACGAGCAGGTATTTCGTGCCATCATGGAAACGAAGTTGCACTTTGCGAAATGGGCCCTACGGGACACAAAACGCAAACAAAAACAGTTACAACATGAATAAGAAGAGAACAAAACTGACACAACAAAGAACGTGCAACTTCACCTTCTTTTTCCTTTAGGCGATTGAGACTCCAATGCATTTATACACAATATAATATAATATATGTGCAAGGAGTGAAGGGAGAGGAAAATGAAATATACACCCACGGATTCTGTTATGATTCCATGACAAAAGGGAAGGGAACGTGAGGTTGCCTCCTTAGCAGACTATGGAGCGATCTTGCGAAGGGAGGGGGCTCCGCTAAGTGGTAGCGCTTCTTGTTAAGCCCGCAAGTTTCCCTGTTGATTACTTGCGTTGCAATTGCGGCGATAAGTCCCGCTGCGGGGGCTGGCGGGTGTAGCTCTTTTATCTGTGCCCTTACACCCCAACTCGCTGCGTGGAGGGTATTCCCGCAGAGGAGGTTGGCGGCAGCGGGGGCCCACGGAGTGCCTCCTCGTCAGCTTGCACCGCTCCCGGTTGGCGTTGCGTATGTTTTTTGAATTCGTTTG